TTTATTTGTTTACATTTTTTTTAAGTAGGCTCCACACCCAATGCGGGACTGAACTCATGACCCGGAGATCAAGAGTCACATGCCCCACAGACCCCTAAAATGTTAAAAAAAATCATCCTCCCAATTTAGGAACATCTGTATCTAAAAAATATATATATATGTACAGTAGAAGAAGGAAATTATGTTTTAAAAACTTGATAATTTAACTCATGGTTTTAGATTTGTAAATCATCGATAAGATTTCTCTAGTAACATTTCAGTACATGCCACAATGAGTTAATTTGGGTTCACACTTTCATGTAATTTTTGAAATGTTTTTGTTGTTTATTCTTCATTCAATTTTAATTTTCTTGTCCTCATAAGTCATTTATTTAGGAGTTAACTCTGCCACTTTCCCCTGACTCACATTATGGAGGATTTCTTTCAAATGTGGATCTTCAAAAGGAAATATAGTGTCATTTTTACAGAGCTGCATATGTAATGATGGTTATACTGGGGATGGACTGGGAGTAGGACTATTGGATGGACATTATTATGTCTGCTTGGAGATAAGGAGTTGCCCTCAGCAGTGAATATTCAGCAGTAAGAATTGTGAGTCTGGTGTTTGGAAGATCGTTCCCAGGTTACATTCGGTGAGGCCTTTTTTTGCTTTTTCTTTTTTTTCCTCCCCCCCACCCTCTGGTGGATGTCAAAATAGGAAATCAGACATCTATAGGCAAACATGTGATTCTTAGAGATTGCCCAGGAGTTAGAGAGCACTTTGTATTTTGGGAAATAATAAACTTCATTTCTTACTTTGTAACTTTGTTGATAACTTTGACCAGAAATCCAAAACCTTTTTAATGTGATTATGGTTTTGCAGCTTGTATTAATATGACTTGTCTTGGACAACTGTAAATTTAACAGATGATTAAAAGGATATTGTACATTTAGGGTCACTTGAGTGTAACTGGAGAGTATGAAAAACAAAGTCCTGCTTCTTGAACCAGGCCCAGATCTGCCACTTGCCCTCCCTGTGCCTCAGTTTCTTCAACTGAAAAATAGTGATAATTATAGTAACTGACCCCATAGAGGTGCTGTAAAAATTGACTACATCAAAACACTAGAGCACGTGGAGAGATGACTGGCACAGTGTAAGCACTGCAAGGGTGCTGGCTAATTTGTTATTAGCAACATGCCTCAATTATACTTGTTAAAAAGCTAATAAAATTCTTTATTGGTGTGGCTGCTGTATCAAATTACCACTAACTTTAAATGACACAAATTTATTATCTTTCAATTCTGGAGGTCACAAGTCAAAAGTGGTCATAATAAGCTAAAATCAAGAACGGTTGTACTCATTTCTGAAGGCCTTGGAGGAGAAACCTTTTTTTTTTTTTACCATTTTTCAGATTCAAGAGACCACTCAATTCCTTGCATCATGGTCCTCTTCATCTTCAAAGCCAGTGTTTGGATCATTTGGACTTCTGTTCATAATACCACATCTCCTCTGATCTCTGCCTCCCTCTTATAAGGACCCTTGTATTTACATTGAGCACAACAGGACATTCCAGAATAATATCTCTCTCTCTCTTTTTAAGTAGACTCCACGCCCAGTGTGGAGCCCAATACAGGGGTTGAATTCACCACCCTGAGATCAAGACCTGAGCCGATATCAAGAGTTGAATGCTTAACCTACTGAGCCAACCAGGCACCTCCAGAATAATCTCCTCTTAATCACATCTGCAAAATCTGTTTTGCCAAATAAGGGAACATATTCATCGTCTTGGAATTAGGACATAGGCATCCTTGAGTGGGGTGAGGACATTATTCTGCTTAGTACAATTGGTTTTATTTATCACTAATTTAAATATATCATAGCTTTGTTAAGTTTAATAAAATACAAAATTTATAGAAACATGTTTTAAGACACATTTTTTTCCTGATAATAGAAGACAGATGTAACTTACTGATAAGAAAAAACATTCACAATGATTTTTGTCCTTTTGCCTGTGTGATCTAGGGTAAGTTCAAATTATGTTATTAACACCCACAATACAATCTCCAGATGGATAATAACATCTGCAGATACAGTTATCTTTTACACAATAATTGAGACACAATGAACGAAGTGCCAATACAACATGGGCAGATTCAGAAAGGAGAGAAAGTGGTGAGTCCCTTGTGTGCTGAAAATTTATACTGACATCTGACTGTGTCCAAATTAGTATATTGATTTTAAGTCAATGACAGTGATTATCTCAAATTTGTATATGTGAAATCTCAATGATTAAGATTAGTATTGTTGTTTTATCCTGGAAACTTGTGAAATATTTTTGTTTCCTAGAACTAAGTATTAGAAAATGTGGGTAAATCCAATCTTATGGGAATTTCATTTTGGTTTGAAGATAAACACAAGGGCCTGGCATTTAATTTTTTTCAAAATTGAAAAAAAATTTTATATTTTATAGATCATATTCATGTGGATTTTAAAGACATTCTACAAGAAATGAATCACTTAAAGAGCAAAAAGAAAAAGCAATTTGCGTTTTAGTAAACAATATATGTTTAACAATAATTTATTTAAATATTCAATAAGTATTTACCATGTTCCAGGCATTCTTTTATATTCTGGAAGCACATAGTAAACAAAATAGGCAAATTGCTTTACTCATATTGAGACTCTGTCAGTGACAGGAGACTAACACAAAATGAAATAAATATATATGTTAAGTGGTGTGAAGGAATATAAGAACAATAGTCACCAAGACCTATAAGAATAGGCCCCTCTGAGACCGTGGGCTTGAAGCAAAGCCCTGAATGATATGAGGGTGTCAGTCACAGATGTGGGCGGGAAACCCAGGCCTGGGTCACAGCAGAGACAAAAGCTGTAGACTGGAGGCACACCTGGAGTGGGGACAAAGGATTAGAGGGGAAGCCATATGGGATTTACAGTACCAGGGCAAATGCACTGGAGGAAGCAGAAAATGATTTCAAAGGATTAAAGTGTTACAATTTGGTGGGCCTTGAAGTGAAATATGAAGTTTCATAATAGAGCTTTGAGCAGGAGTTGACCTGCTTTGATACAGATTTTTTTAATGATTTTATTTATTTATTTAACAGAGAGAGAGCACACACAAGCAGGGGAATTGGCATAGGGAAAGGGAGAAGCAGGTTTCCTGCTGGGCAGGGAGCCTGATGCAGGGCTCACTCCCAGGAACCTGGGATCATGACCTGAGCCGAAGACAGATGCTTAACCAACTGAACCACCCAGGTGCTCCTCTGATATAGATTTTTAAGATCACTATACTCTGCTGAGGTTAGATTAAAAATAGACAAAAAAGAAAGAGCAGGGAGATAGCAGGAAAGCTACCAGAATAACCTGGATTAAATATGGCTGGAACATTTCATTTATGAAATACAAACAAATGTCCTAACCTTTTGTTGTTGTTGTTGTTGTTGTTTTTTAATAAGATTTTTTATTTATTTATTTGAGAGAGAGAATGAGATAGAGAGAGAGAGCATGAGGGGGGAGGGTCAGAGGGCAAAGCAGGCTCCCTGCTGGCAGGGAGTCTGATGCGGGACTCGATCCCGGGACTCCAGGATCATGACCTGAGCCGAAGGCAGTGGCTTAACCAACTGAGCCACTGAGGCGCCCCAATGTCCTAACCCTTTGTGATGTTGTGATGCATAACTAAGTTTTTTTTTTTTTTTCATATTCCTGGCATAGAGGTCCTAAAACCCTCTGAATTTCCTAAATGGAAATAGCTATGCAGATATCTTGTGTTATTCATAAAAAGGCCCTCCTACCACACCTGAGTTTATGCTAATGAGGTGACTTATTGAAATCTCCTAAGAATCAGAGCTAGTTGCCAGGAAACTAACCATGATTAAAGATTTGCAGTTTTTAAACCTCTACCTTTCAGATCTCCAAGGAGAGGATCTAGAGGTTTCATTAGTCACTGATGGCCAATGATTTAATCAAACACGCCAAAATAATCAAGCATCCATAAAAATCTAAAAGGATGGGGTTCAGAGAGCTTCTGAACATATGGAATTGCCAAGAGGATGGTACATCCAGAGAGGACAATGAACCTCCTGAGCTTTTCCTGAACATCTTAACTTATATATCTCCTCTACCTGGTTGTTCCTTAGTTATATACTAGTCAATTTAGTAATTAAAATATTTTCCACTCTAGAAAATTAATTGAACCCAGGGATGGAGTCATGAAAACCTTCTGTTTATAGCCAGTGGTTCAGATCCCCCAAGTGATAAGCTCTATTTGGCAATTGGTATCTGATTTGGGGAGCAGTCTTGTGGAACTAAGCCCTTAACCAGTGAGATATTAAGCTATCTCTATGTAGGTAGTATGAGTACTGTATTATATTGTAGGATACCTAGCTGGTTGTCTGGAGAGTTGGACATTGCTTATTATGGGGAATAAACCCTCACAAATTTGGTGACCAAAAGTGTCAGAGGTAAAATAATGAGAATAGAGGAGACTCATAGAAGGTGTTTTTTTTGTTTTTGTTTTTTTCTTTACATTCTACACTTCCTAAGTTATTCCTTTTGCTCACATTTGGCCATTCAAATAATCAGTGAATCAAAGAGACTTTACCCCAACCAGTATTGACTTAGCTCTACCATAGACTGGACAACTTTCTGGATGCCAGAAATGCAGAGAGTGAATAGGAAAGATATAATTAAACTCTAACCCATGTATAGCAAATACCAGCTTTTTTATGCAGTTAGCATAATCTATGTATTGTTGCATGAACATAAATACAATATAAAAAGTGTTGTTCTCCAACAAAGAGAAATAGATCTACAGTTTCTAACTTAAGATGTGTCTCTTGGTCTGTTCATTTTTCTCTAGCATTTTGCCTTGGAAAATTTCAGCCCAATCAGTACTCTCTGAGGTGTCATCTCCATTATAAGTTTCATCCATACTGAAAGAGTCTTCTCTCCTTTTCCTTCCTGGTCTTTGTGGCTTTCTGCTCTGCTGGAGCTGCCATCAGCAATGTCAATGAAGAATATAACTTTATCCTCTGACTTTATCCTCCTGGGGCTTCTGGTGAACAATAAAGCTACAGGGATTGTCTTTGCTATTATTTTTGCTATTTTTGTGGTGGCTGTAACTGCAAATTTGGTCATGATATTCTTGATTCAGGTGGACTCCCATCTCCATACTCCTATGTATTTCCTGCTTAGTCAGCTGTCCATCATGGACACCCTTTTCATTTGTACAACTGTCCCAAAACTTCTGGTCGACATGGTTTCTAAAGAGAAGACCATTTCCTTTGTAGGTTGTGGCATCCAGATCTTCCTCTACTTGACCATGATTGGCTCAGAGTTCTTCCTCTTGGGCCTCATGGCCTATGACCGCTATGTGGCTGTCTGTAACCCTCTTAGGTATCCAGTCCTGATGAACCGCAGGGTGTCTCCTGCTGGCTGCTGGTGCCTGGTTTGGTGGGTCCCTGGATAGCTTTCTGCTCACCCCCATCACCATGAATGTCCCCTACTGTGGCTCCCGAAGTATCAACCATTTTTTCTGTGAGATCCCTGCAGTTCTCAGACTAGCCTGTGCTGACACATCCTTGTATGAAACCCTAATGTACATCTGTTGTGTACTTATGTTGCTCATCCCTATCTCTATCATCTCAACCTCCTATTCTCTCATCTTGTTAACTGTCCACCGAATGCACTCTGCTGAAGGCCGGAAGAAAGCCTTTACCACTTGTTCTTCCCACTTGACTGTAGTCAGCATTTTCTATGGGGCTGCCTTCTACATTTATGTTCTGCCCCAGTCTTTTCACACTCCTGAGCAGGACAAGGTAGTGTCAGCCTTCTATACCATTGTCACACCCATGCTCAATCCTCTTATCTACAGTCTCAGAAACAAGGATGTCATGGGAGCATTTAAAAAGGTATTTTCACAATACTCATCTACTCAAAAAGTATCCACAAGTGATGCTTAAGGATTCAATAAACTGACAATAGATCTTCCTAAGAACATTGTCTATTGTCCTGTTTCAAAGGTGACTATTTAGTCAGCTGTCAAAGATTACTTACAATTGGCAATTAAAAGGATTTACCATGCCTGGTTTCTTGTTACCAGGGGTGAGAACCAAAGATTTTTCATTAGTTATGCAGATACATTTTGGCTACCTATCAACAATAAGATATTATTACATAGGTTAAAGAATTCATCTGATGCTGGTTCTTGTCTCTCAGACTAAATAAAGGGGAAAAAAGTGTATCTTAGAGTTCACAGGAAATCTTTGCTGATTCCTTTTCACACTTAACCCAGGAACACCTTTCAAAGCTAACAAATTTTGTTGCCAATGTGATTATTTTTGTATCAATAAAGTAAAATAATACCAATCACAAGTGACAAAGGATAGAAATCACACAGTTTTAATCAGATCTCTATTGGCTTTGCCTCAGAGGATTTTAACCTCTATGATCATTTTCATGGCACTTATTCTAAAAATAGTGACTGTCAAATACTAGGCCACAGTAAATAGTGAGTGAGCTAAACTGACTGAATATTGAATGTCCAAGCATTGCATACCTACTCAAAAGGGATAGACTCTAATATTTAACATCAAAGAGAACTACTGTGCCTTTTTCCATGTTATTTTAATAGCAGAATTCTAGGAAAGGTGACATCTATGGGAAGAAAATTTACATTGCCCAATTCTGTGATTCACCAACAGGACTTGGATGTAGTTCAGGGTTGTTTGGAGTGAGATGGAAAGCTTTTGAAGAATTTTCTGTATAGACATAACTTGATAAGTTGTACATTTTTATATGCACTATTTTATGCACACTTCCACCCTATGTCTATAGTGTGGTATATAGAACAGGGAACTAGATTGTATGCAGGAAAACAATTTAGGAATCTTCAAATGAGAAGAAAGAAGGATTGAGTCAGGTAGTTGCACAAGAGGATTTAGCTCGTGGGAAGGATGACTATTAGGAAAGAAAGTGAAATGAAAGATAAGTCGATTGACCTCAAGGGAAAGGAAACTAAGATTTCTGAGATTTGAAAACTTTCAGAATGGCAGGATTGAGTAGGAGAAATCAAGAATTTAGTTGTTGAGAAACTTTTGAAATTTCTATTAGGTATATGAAGCCAATTGGGGTTCAGATTGGAGGTAAGGGCTGAAGTTTTAAATTTGGTAGTCTTCAGAGTAGAAAGAATACTTAAAAGCATAGGATTAGTTGAAACTTAGGTAAGAGTAAAGATTTAAGACTAAGGAGGCTGTTCAGCTGGAAAGAAAGTGTGATAAGAGACAGTGATTGATGGTGTAAGAAGTAACATCTCAGAAGTGAGGAAACTTCAAAACTGGAGTGTAATCAAATGCACTAGATGCTGTTTCTTGTCAGATTACAATGAGAGTTTTGATTGGCCACTGTATTTGTCAACACAAAGATCAATTATGACCTTAATAAAAGCAATTCCAATGAAGTTGTGCTCTCCAAGAGGATTCAGAGTAAATAGAAGGGGAGAAAGTGGACAAGATGACTAGAGTGTAAGTACAATTTTTAATGAGAGCAGATAAATGGAGCAGTGGCTAGAAAAGGGTATGATATTAATGTTTTTTGTTGTAGGATATTGCAGATATGATAAAGGGAATAATTTACACAAAGCATAAATTGATAATGGATACAAAATGGGAAACTTCTTCCAGAAGATGACCTTTGATAGAGACAGAGAGCAGAGAAAATTTAGAAGAAAGGAGGTTGATTTATTTGAGTTTGCATGGCTAGTTTATTTACTATAGCAGGAAGTAAAGCAGAGCATAGGCTATACAAGTAAGTTCTCCTCTGATTTCTTCTATTTCACAATGCAAGTAGAATCAAGGAGAGCTTCTACTTGTGAAGGACATGAATGATTGTTAAAAATTTGAGACAAGAAGAAAAATATTTTGGAGATCAGTTGAATAAATGAATAAATTATAGATATTAGGATTGCAGAGTAATCTTGGGGTTGATTATAATATAGTTGTTTATTTCAGTGAATTGATCTTTTTGTGAAATTAAAGATTTTTTTAACCAACATGCTTGCTCATGTGGAGCTTATTGTATAACATGATATAATTTGGAATCATAAGGTAACATACTGTCTCCTCAACATACTAATTATTTAAGTTTATGAGTTAAAGACACCCTCCAGTACAACCAGTCTTTAAACTGGTCTTTGTGATGTCTTCTCTGGTGACAAGTTGGATTATCTAATGTCCTCAGTGAACAATCTTTCTGTTCCAAATAGGTTTTATTAAAATGTTCAGACTTCTACCTTTGCATTTGCCCAATAACTGATTCTTAAGCTTTTGAACTGATTTTATTTTATTTTTTCCTATTCAAATTTAAATGTTTTAAATTACTTCCAACCCATATGCCAATTTCAGGTGCAAATGAATGATGTTAAGATCACAGGCTTTTACTTAAACTCACTGGTGTTTGAATCTTGACTTTTTAATTTCTGTGCTGTGTATCCTTTAACGTGTTACTTAACCTCTCTGAACGAAATTTTCCTGTCTTAAAGAAGGATTCCCTGTTAAAAATCAAGAAATGGGGAAAGGGTTCTAACAATAGAGATTATCTGAGTCTGTGACTCTTGCTTCTTGAGACAAAGGTAGTTCTACTTTTATCATATGGTCACTTAGCATTTTTCTGTGTGTTCTCAAGGCACAGTTCTCACCAGCAGTCCCTCTTGATTCATTAAATAATTTATATTTTAAATACCAAATTCAATCATTTGTAATTGTATCTGGGACATTTATACTTCTCCCCTTTATCCCTTACAGGGAGAAGAAATCCATAAATTTGATAAAATCCCTAGAGGATTTTTTTTAGATTCTATCTAGCCTTCCAGTAGGTATTACTAAGGGACCAAATTGGCATCATCCATCTGCCACCCTGTGGACAATTAACACATGACATTATTCTAAAACTACAATGTATGTCCTTGGTGTGTTCCTTAAAAAACTATGTATGGTGCTATAAAATCGGGGTGCACATACCCTTTCAGATCCCTACTTTTGTATCTTTGGGGTAAATACCCAGTAGTGCAATTGTTGGATCATATGGTAGCTCTATTTTCAACTTTTTGAGG